AAAAAAAAAAAAAAAAAAAAAAAAAAAAAAAAAAATCTATGGTAGGGGTAGACAGGTGAGGAAAATGCACCCACAAGCCAAATTCAGTATTTTTGAAATACTGTTTTAACACAGCCACTCCCTTCATTTATTGTTTCGTTTTGTATTTCTGGTACTGGGGATAGAACTTAGGACCTTGTGCTTGCAAGGCAGGTGGCTGCACCACTGAGCTAACTCCTCAGCCCTTCATTTATATCATGCGCTTAGATCTTACTGCTACAATCAAGTTGAGCACAGCAGTCTTCCCTTGTCCACAGGTAACACATTCCAACAACCTGGATGGATGCCTGAAACCTTGAATAGTTGCTATGGGTAATATCTAGATGTCCTCAGAAAACCTCATGCATTCCTAGGTGGCACTTTTGGGATCAGGGGTATGTGATAATGGATTAGTCCACTGATTGGTCTAGTATAGTTCTGGGTATGGGTGATGGATTTACTAACTAGAAAGACCCACTCTGGGTATGGGTGGCACCAACCGATAGGCTTACAGCCTGGATGAAATAAAAGGGGAAGAAGAACGTCTGAACCTGAACACTGCCACACCACTTTGTGATGGAGCCAGTGGAATATGGAGTAAACCTCTACAGACTATGAGCTAAGATAAATATTTCCTCCTTTAACTTCTGGGTATTCAGGTTAGGTATTTAGGCCTAGCAACAAGAAAGTAACTAAAACAATAAGGTCCAGTCTTATCCATACTATATTTTCCTATATATATGTACATACCATAACATTTATAAATTGGACAGAGATTAACATCAATGGAACAATTATGACAATATACTGTACTCTCACATGCAACCAGAGGTTGCAAACTAGTAGGCCAAATCCACAGAAAAAAGTATTTGGCCCAGGGCTGGGGACTTAGCTCAGTAATGCTGCCACCTGCCTCACAAGGCTCAAGATCCCGAGTTCCACCCCCAGTACCAAAAAAAAAAAGTATTTGGCTTGCATGCTTTCAAAATTACTTTCCCTCAACAGGGCATGGTGGCATACACTTGCAATCCCAGCATTTGGGAGGCCAAGGCAGGAGTGTAACTGAGTTCGAAGCCAGCCTGGGCTACACAGTGAGACCATCTCCAAAAAAAAAAGAAAAAGAAAAAGAAAAAAGAAAAACAACAACAAAGTTACTTGCCCTCATTTAAAAATTGAAGCCTGGGCGGGATATCAAATACCCGTAATTTCAGCTTTTAGGAGGCTGAGGCAAGAGGATTATGAGTTCAAGGCCAGCCTGGACATAGAAAGCCTGGACATATTTCACATTTTGGATTTCTGGTTCCTTATCAAAAGATCTGATAACACCAGTTTTGCATTCCCACACAGAAACAGCTGGCTGAAGTACAGAAGCATTTTTCTAATTCTTATAGGGCTAGCTTCCATCAGTTACCACTTAAGTACTTGAGTTTGCAACTGTTAGAACTCCATGTTCTAATACAGTAACCACTAGATATACAAGGCTATTTGAATGTGACTTAAAATTAAATAAAAGTTGGGCCAGGATTTAGCTCAGTGGTGCCACACTTGTCCGGCAAGCACAAGGTCCTGAGTTTGATTCTGGGTATCAAAACAAAAAAATTAAATAAAATTTAGTTCAGTATCTCAGTCACATCATCACATTTCAATTGCTCAACAGCTACATATGGATACTGCCTAGTATACTGCATAGTTTTGGATATTCTACCAGTTGGAACAGGAAATATTTTTGTTTTTTTGTGTTGTGTGTGTACTGGGGATTGAATCTGAGGCCTTGTGCATGCTAAGTATTGATATCTCTTGAGCAACATACATTACTAACCGTACTATGGAGCCTAATCACTATTTACTGTTTTTATAGGACAATATGCCAAGTTGTAACATGATGCAGGAATATAAACAGTTCCTAACCCTAGTCTGAGGTTACCTTCTGTTATACACAGTTTTGGGAGTTTTTTTGGTGGTAGTGAGGATTAAACCCAGAGGCCTTTCAATCCCCCATAACAACAGCAACAACAAAAAACCAGACAGAAAACAACAAAAAACCTCAGCCTTCATGCTGAGCTATTCCCCTAGCCCTTTTTAAAATTTTTTGTCTTGCTAAGCTGCTAAATTGTCCAGGTTGGCCCTGAACTCTTGCTTTAGCCTTCCTAGTAGTTAGTATTACAGGCTTGTGTCACTTTCCTGGCTCTTCAGTCTTTCCGTGACTTTAACCTTGACAAGTCAGGGTTCTTCAGCAAAATGCTCTTTTGTAGAATATCCTTGTTTGATATTTCTAACTTTTTTTCAAGGTACTGGGGACTGAACCCTAAGCTTTTTTTTGTACCAGAGATGGAACTCCAGACCTTGCACTTGCAAGGCGGGCTGAGCTAAATCCCCAGCCCTAAACCCTGAGCTTTGAGCAGGGGAGGCAAGAACCCTACCAGAGCTGAACCTCCAGCCAGATCATGTACACTGTATTTAACAACAATCACAATGACACTGCATTCTCAATGCTGCCACTGGGTGGCATAGCTATTTGTCCCCTGGGTGATGTCAGCTTTCATCTAAGCTTATTTTCTAGGTTTCTCCAGTGTACTTTCTCCTTTTATAATTACATAGTATCCTCTTCACCAAATTTTCAGCAAATTCGTTTATTTACATTATGGACTAATGGATTCCTATTTTAATTCAGTGGGGTAAAATTCAGTATTATCATTATTTGTTTCTTCTATGGTTTTTTTGAGACAAGGTCTCCCAATGTAGTTCAGATTGGCCTCAAACTCACAGTAACCCTCCTGCCCCAGCCTCCAGAGTGCAGACAATTACAGATGATCACAGATGTGTGCAATCCAGCTTTTCCTACTGTTCTTTTTTCCCCCCTGGTACCAGGGATCTAACTTAGGACCTTGTGCTTGCCAGGCAGGCATGGCGCCATTAAACTACATCCCCAGCCCTTTCCCCTCAAAAAATATTCCAGCCTCATCTCATCCTTTCCCTGTCTCAACCCTCATTTCTCCAAGGAGCTTTGGTTGCTTTTAGATAATGAAGTGTTCTATGAAGTGTTAAGTAATGTCTGTTCTTACATGTACACATACTGGCATCTTTAGTAACTTAGTCTGTATTTACTTTGTACCAATACCCTAATATCACAGGGTCCAGTCTATTTCTTTTCTTTTCCATATTTGCAATTTCATTCTATTAGCTCCATTATCATTACATTTATTGTAACCAATCTCCTACTGCTATCACCACCTACCCATGTGCTTTTTCTCATCTGCTCAGATTCCAGTAGCCCTCCTCCCACAACTCTCCACTTTCCTCACTTTGCTTTTAAAAGGGAATCTCGCTGGGCGAGGTGCTACCTAACTGCAAACCCAGCATCAAGGGAAGTTGAGACAGGAAGATCACAAATTTGAATCCCACCTAGGTAACTTAGCAAAACCTGTCTCAAAATAAAATATAAGGGCTTGGGATTTAGCCCAGTGGTTCTGCCGCCTGCCTTGCAAGCACAAGGTCCTGAATTTGATCCCTGGTACCAAAAAAACCAAACATACAAAAAAAGAAAAAAGAAGAATAAAGTATGATCAGGGCCGGGGATTTAGCTCAGTGGTTCTGCCGCCTGCCTTCCAAGCACAAGGACGTGAGTTCAATCCTCAGTACAAAAAGAAAAAGAAAGTATGATCAAAATAAAATATAAAATAGAAAGGGCTGGAGATAATAGCTCAACGGTAGAACACACCTGGGTTCAATACTCAGTACAAGGGAAAAGAACTAAATTAGGAGTTAGGGGTATACCCAACAGTAACGTGCTTGACAAGCATGAAAGAGGCTCTGGGTTTGATTCTCAAACTGCAAGGGAAAATAAATTCCTAGCACTGCAAAAAGATAAAAAGGAAAGAGACAAGAAGGAGGAAAGAATGAACGAAGAAAGAGAAAGGAAGAAAAGAAGGAAAGGGAAAAGAGAAAGAACAGAAGGAGGGAAGGAGGAACAAAGCGAGGGAAGGAGAAAGTTCTAAATTAAAAACATCAGGAGGCAGGGCTGCAGATAACAGGATTTTATTAAGATGGAATCAGTTCTAATTACATTAAGCTATTTGCCAAACCCAAATCCACAAGGTTCATACAAACTTACAGTTATCACAAATTAGAAACAAATGGCACATTCAAAACCACAAGGAAACAGCTTGATATCCTGGTGATGTAGGCTGAGCACTTATTTCAAGCTATTGAAGAGTTTGTGGGCCACCTAGATGGGGAAAAAACAAAACAGAACGTCATCAATTGGCAGCTTTCTTGTCATGGCTTACTTACAAGGTTCTTCATAACCTACAAGTGTGGTGGTACACCTGGGAGGCTGAGGCAGAAGGATTACTGAGAAGTGGAGGCCAGCCTCGGCTATGTAATAATGAGTTCAAGACCTACTTGAACTACATGAGATCCTGTCTCAAAATCAATCAACTGGGCCAGGGACTTAGCTCAGTGGTGCTGTGCCTGCCTTGCAAGCACAAGGTCCTGAGTTTGATCCCTGGTACCAAGGGAAAAAAAAAAAATCAATCATAGACCTACAACAGTACTGCATCCTTCTTCACCACACCCTTTCTTATACACCCATGCTGCATTTGAGCCCCAGTGAACTCCCCTTAGTTACCTAAATGTATCCCTTCTATCCGAAATTGTTCTACTCTTCTCATTTTTTATTCATTTAAAACTTACTTTTCCCATAAGCTTTTCCTAAATAAGCCCCTATCACACACCAATCTGTACTGTCTTTCTCACAAAAACTGGTACCTCTCATCAGTGATATCAACATTACTTTTTTTTAAATTAAAAGGTTTTTTGTTTCGTTTTGTTTTTTGGTACCAGGGATCGAACTCAGGACCTGGCATTTGCGAGGCAGGCAGTGGCACAACTGAGCTAAATCCCTGGCAAAAGGTTGTTTTTGGCACTACTGGGAATTGAACCAAGGGCCTTCACACTAAGCTACACCTCTAGCCCTTTTTTATTTTGAGACAAGGTCTCCCTAATTGAGCAGGCTGGACTGGAACTTACAATCATCCTGCTCAGCCTTATAGAGGGCTGGGATTATTACACATATACCCTACCACACACAGCTAACATTACATATTAAGTCTCTACACCAGGTACTGTTCTAAAATCTGAAAATTTTAACTATAACAGTATCAGGGGATAGGGATGGAGATTTAGCTCAGTGGTGCCACGCCTGCCTCGTAAATGCAAGGTCCTGAGTTTGATCCCCGGTACCAAAAAAAAGAGACAGTATCTCTGTTGCTTAAAGGACTTAGAAATGAATAAGACAAATATAATAAACACACAAATAAGGTCACTTCTTTTCTTTGGGGGGCGGGGATATGGTGCACCATTCCTGGAGGTAATGTAGTACCAGGTCAATGTGTGAAGTGGACAGTGCAAGCTCCTATTCCATCTCCTTGCTCCAAAAATCCTTTTAATCTATTGTCTTGAAATAGACAAGGTGTCAGATACTAAACTGATATGTATAGACACTACACTTAGACAAAAGGCCAAGAAACAATAAAAATAAGGTAACTTCTGATAGTAGTAAATGTTGCAAAATAAAATGGGAGGAGGGTGTGAAAGGGGGTTGGGGGTGTCAGTGAATGCCATCTAGAAGTTGGTTACAGTTTAACAATTGTTCTACTTCTGCTTTCTATGCTGGTGCATAAATTCAGTGAAGGGAAGGACTATGTTTATCTCACTCCCATATCCTACGCTAGAGTTCAGCTCATAAAAGTATTTAAAATATTTGCTGAATGATTATAAAATGGGAGGCAGAACATACTAGGAGGGAATGTAACAAGGGAATAGATCATGACTAGCCTATTTTAGATATTTCATATAAATACCAGAATCAAAACCGGGTGTGGTGGTACACACCTGTAATCCCAGTACTCGGGAGGCTGAGGCAGGAGGATCGCTGTGAGTTTGAGACCAGCCTGGGCTACATAGTGAGTTCCAGGTCAGTCTCAACTACATAGTGAGACCCTGTCTCAAAATAAAACAAAACAAAACTAGAATCATACAATATGTATGCCTCTATGCCTGGCTTATGCCACTTGGCATGTAGCATGTTTTTTGATTTTACAGTACAGTACTGAGGATTCAACCCAGGACCTTCACACTGAAGTTTTTTTTGTTGTTGTTTTTTGTTGTTGTTATTGTTTTGAGACAGGGTCTCACTATGTAGTTGAGACTGACCTGGAAATCACTATGTAACCCAGGCTGGTCTCGAACTCACAGTGATCCTCCTGCCTCAGTCTCCTGAGTGCTGGGATTACAGGCGTGTGCCGCCATGCCCGGCATGTATGTATTTCATTTTTACCTTTTTTTTTGGTACATTAAACTTAACACCTTGATCATTTTATAACTTCATTTCAGTGGCATTAAGTATATGCTTTGTTCTGCTACTATCAATCCCTGAAACCTTTTTCTTTTTCCAAATTGAAACTCAATAAACTGTAGGTCTCCATTTCCTCTCCCTCTAGCTCCTGACTATAATTCTTTCTATCCCTCTGAATGTTGCTATTCTAGATACCTTATGGAAAGATGCAAAATTTGTGCTTTGTGACTTATTTCATTCAGCATGTCAACAATTATCCACATTGTAGCATGTGTCAGTTTCCTTCTTTTGAAAGGCTGAATAATATCCCATTGTGCATACACATATGGCACACACACAAACACACACACACATATGGCACATTTCGTTTACCCATTCATCCCCTCATGGATACTGAGGCTATTTCTACCTTCTGGCTGTTATAACTAATATTGCTATGAACATGGTTTGAATCTTTATTCCCAAATTTTGGGAATATAATAAAAAATGGATGGTCATTTTTTTTTTATAGCAAAACATTTATTCATACATTTTAGGCATACATAACACTAACACTCATCATAGGGAATTTGCACCTGTTAAGGTGACATGGGAATGTCACATGTTAAATCTATATGTACTTAACCTTTTGAGGAAATGCCAGACTTTTTCACAGTGGCTATACCAATTTATATTCCCTCCAGCAGTATATGTGGTTTCCAATTTCTCCACATTCTCTCCAACATTTGTTATTTGTCACTTTGTGTGTGTGTAGTGCTTAGGATCAAACCTGGAACTTCACACATGCTCTCTTGTGGTGACGTGATTTGCATTTCCTGATGGATAATGATGCTGAACTTTTTTTTTTGGCACTGGGGATCAAACCCAGGCTTTCTACATGGTAACTCAGATGTTAAGCATGCACTCTACTACTGACTATACCCCATCTTCTCATGCACTTTATTTACTGGCTACTCAATCAGTTTTTGTTGTTGTGGTTTTGTTTTTCGCAGTTCCAGAATATGAACTCAGGAACTGCTGAGCTACATCCCCAGCCCCTCCTTTTTAAAATTTTGAGATAGAGCCGGGGATTTGGCTCAGTGGTTCTACTGCCTGCCTCACAAGTACAAGGACCTGAGTTTGATCCCTGGTACTAAAAATAAATAAATACATACATAAATAATAATAATAAAATTTTGAGATAGGGTCTCAGACTTATGATTCTCCTACTTCAGCCAGTTAAGTAGTGGGATTATAGGCATTTGTCATCATGCTTGGTTCTGAATCAGTTTCAACCAAAGCACCCTATCAAACAGGATATTTTTAATTTTTTTTTTGTTTTTGTTTTTTGAGACAGGGTCTCACTATGTAATTGAGACTGTCCTGGAACTCACTATGTAGCCCAGGCTGGTCTCGAACTCACAGAGATCCTCCTGCCTCAACCTCCCGAGTGCTGGGATTACAGGTGTGCGCTACCACGCCCGGCACATATTTTTAATTTGTATTGTATGAAAAGTTATTTGCTTAAAAAAAAACCTTTGTGGAAAACTATGTCACATTATGCTTGCATAGCATGAGGCCCTGGTTTGCTCCTGAGCAATACAAAATAAAAAGGGAACAAAATTCAGCTTCCCTGTTCAGCAGTGCAAGTCAGGATGTCTTTTTTTTCCCGAGTCTATTTCTATCTGTAAAATGGGAATAATGATATCCACCTCCAGAGGAAGTGACAAAGTTTAGACAAGATTACTTATGTAATTAATATGACATGACAAGTCCACAGTAAATATTTACTAAAGGGCCCACCCCAGCACAGAAAGAGTGTCAAGTGTTCTCTGGCCACTGTAAACTTTCACTACTCAACGCTGGACTGACTTACACAGTGGTCCCTTGCATGCAAGAAATCAAAGAGCTCCTCTGTGCAATCCTCTTCGGTCTGTGATCGGGAAGAGACACGTTCATCACAGAGCTCCAGCCGCTCCCGTGCCTTTACACATTTCTCCAGCTGCTCACATTGTTCTCTCACTGTTGTTAGGGGATCCTGAATCATAAACAAAAGGAACAAAATAAAAGCTGTAGGGAAGACCCACCAATCATATGTTTTGATTAACACAGTCACCAAACCAAAGTGCTGCCTCTGAGTTACCATGTAGAAAGTCAGCAGGCAGAGCCACACTGCAGCCAGAAATGGCAGAGTTGCTTTCCCAGTCAATTCTGATACTAAGTGTGAGGGAAAGGTTTCACATTCCTGCTTTCCAAGGTTGTCAGTGTATACTGAAAGCCTCAGTCCTGTTTGAAAAAACAAGGTGGTAAAGAAAACGTGGCCAAACTTGAAGATCTACTGGAGGCCTTATTAACATAGCATTATGGAATACATCATGTCTAAAACTTCAATTTCCCTTGTCTAAAAACCAAGTCTATTGTACCCCACCCACCCAGCTAGAAAGGCAGTGCTAACTGAGGACTATCTAAGAAGCATTCCATCCAGAGCTCTCTCTCTGTTTTTGATAATACTGGTTAGGCAAGCATTCCACCACTAAACTACATACCCAGCCCCTTTCTTTTTTTTTTTTTGGTACTAGGGATTGAACTCTCGGGACCTTGGATTTACAAGGCAGGCATGGCCTGCCACTGAGCGAAATCCCTGGCCCAGCCCTTTTCTATTTTGAAACAAGGTCTTGATAAGTTGCTCAGGCTAGCCTCCAATTTGCTGTCCTCCTGCCTGAGCTTCATAAATAGCTGGGATTACAGGTGTGTGCCACTGTGCCAGTCTGAGTTCCTTAAACCAAAAATAGCAGATGAAGGAACACCAACCAGGCACTCAAAATGCTCTTTGTTCTCTGGTATGCTGAAGAAGTCTCAACCCCAGATATGATGCAGCTTACCAGACTCTCACATCCAAACATTTCAATGCACAAGAAGTTTTTGTTGTTTTTGAGACGAGGTTTTGCTATGTGGCTGAGACTTGGCCTTCAACTCTCAATGATCGTCCTGCCTCAGCCTCTTGACTGCTGGGACTACAAGTGTGAACCACTATGCCCAGCTAGAAAGTCTTAAAGGCTTATCCCACCCTCACTTTCTGAAGGCATCAAATAAAGACTCTTTAAGATGCTTAGTTTCATGAAGCTCAAAATTCTTGCTTTTACTGTGTGTTCTAAATCTGAGATAGCTCTTACCTCTAATTCTTCCTCTTCTTCTTCTTCTTCTTCTTCTTCCTACAAAAAACAAAGAAAAAAAAGGAAAACAAAATTAATGTCAGCAGCAGCTTCATGACACATTTCCCCAATCATATTCACATTACAAATATTGAGAACAGGATGTTAATCATGTCATTTTATTTTCTGTATTTTATGACATTTTGACATATTAGCATAGAGCTAATCCTGCAGGGCTAGTTATCATAGATAGCACACAACTTGCCCGGAAGCCCACCTTCCATATGCAATACAAACCCATGTGGCCAACCACTTTTATGTAAGTCTCATCATATACCAAACCCCTATTTCCCTTTGCCTAAACTACCCCAGGGATAAACATAGGAAAACTATGGACATACCTTACAAACCAAAGCTCACCAAATTACTCAAATGCTCTAATCTTAAATTTGATGGAGCTAGCCTACCCTGCTTCATCCATTTCTTCCACAGAAACCAAGACTTGGAGCTACGCTTTCTGATTCCTTCTGCTCACTACTCCACACAGCCCTCCATTGTATGACATGCCTTCAGAAGCTCTTAAGTAATAAATCCTCCTTTCAAAGGCAGTTGTCTCCATGTCTGTCACCTTACAATACCTGATATACCCCAATAATACTTCAAAACGGACACTGTTGTCTTACTTTCATGAGCAAGAATCTATGGCAATCTATAGTTTTGTTTTTTGTAGGGCTGGGGATATAACACAGAGCCTTGCACATGTTAGGCAGGCACCATGGGCAGTGCTAGGCTGTGTTCTCCAGCTTTTCTATTGCTAGGTAAGTGCTCTGCTGCTGAGGCACATCCCTACCCCTATCTGTCTATCATTTATTCTTAGAGTTATGAGCACTGAACCCAGGACCTTTACACTGAGTTACATTCCAGCCTTTTAAAATTTTTTGAGACAGGATCTCACCAAGCTGCTTAAGCTAGCCTCAGCCTTAGCTTCCTGCCTCAGCCTCCTGAGTAGCTGGTATTACAAGCTTACATCACCATACTTGGCTTTATTTTTGAGAGGTCTTGCTAAATTTCCCAGGCTGGCCTGGAACTTGCAATCTTCCTACCTCAGTCTCTCAAGTACTAGAATTACAGATGTGTGCAACCATGCCTGGTGACAGTCTACAATTTATAAAGCACCTTCACATCTGTTATGATTTGATTAATTGGAATAGTCCCTTAAGGGAGTAATCTTGGTTTAGGCATAACAAACAGTAGTTAGACATTTTCTCATAGTAGTTAAATATTCTCTCATATAAATTCAAGCTGTCAGATATTCATATGGGCCCTAAAGAGCTTAAAATATTTGTTCTAGACTCTAGGTAAGTGCAGTGTTGCTAGAAATAGCTAAGTTTAGCCTTTATTTCCCAAACCAACTTCAGAGGAAAAAACAATTTTTTCCAGATTCTGAACTTGAATTTGCAATATGAAAATGGCCAAACCTAAACTCTAGTTAAGCCAGAGCTTAACTAGAAGCACAGCTTCTAGTTTTTCATTAAGCAAACTTTCTATTAAAACCTTTTAAATAATTCATTAAAAATTCATACTGCCGGGTGTGGTGGCTCATGCCTGTAATCCCAGTACTCAGGAGGCTGAGGCAGAAGGATCACTGTGAGTTCAAGACCAGCCTGGGCTACACAGTGAGTTCCAGGTCAGTCTCAACTACATAGTAAGACCCTGTCTCAAAAAAACAACCAAAAAAAATAAATTCATACTGAGGCTAGGGATTTAGCTCAGTGGTTCCGCAGCCTATCTCACCAGCACAAGGACCCAGTTCAATCCCCAGTACAAAAACAAAACAATTCATACTGCAAATGTTTCCACCAAAACACTAAAAAGCAGGACTGGGAGCATAAATCTGGTAAAGCATGTGCTCAGTATGTTTGAGCATTCAGTGTCCAACACCCCTTTCCACCCCCCCAAAAAATCCAAAACAAACACTAAAATCACACTCTGCCTGAGGTAAGAAACCAGAAATTAGTATCCTTTATACCATTTCTCTACTTGCAATACTACAAAACTGATCGTTTTGTGTTACAATTTTTTTTTAATTTCTGAGATCTCTTTATTGTATGAGATATGATCACACAAACGTTTTGTGTTACCAACTCAAATATAAGGCTGGACCACACCTGGTGATGCTCCTGTCTCAGCCTCCCAGGTGCTGGAATTAAGAGTATGTAAAGATTTCCAACCAATGAGAAAAACCAAGGTCACACTGAATGAAAAGACTTAATCCCCAGGAATTATGAGTCCTTCAGGAAATATCCCAGTTCCCTTATTTTTTTATTTTTTTTGGTACCGGGGATCGAACTCCGGTCCTCGCACTTGCAAGGGAGGCAGTGGAACCGCTGAGCTAAATCCCCAGCCCCCCAGTTCCCTTAATTTTATAATTGACAGGACAATTTAGTTCAATCCCAGATACAAAAATAAATAAATAAATAGATGAAATTGGCAGCTTATTTTCTTTGTGTGTGTTTATTTTCTTTTTTGAGGCAAAATGTACAGTTTTGCTTCGTGTGTGTGTTTTTTTAAATGTATATTTCTTTTTTTGGTATTGGGAATCGAACGTTTTATTTTTAACGCCAGCGGGTCAGTCTGGGACTTCTCCACGCAGACGTGTGTGTGTGTGTGTGTGTGTGTGTGTGTGTGTGCGCGTGTGTGTGTGCGTGTGTGTGTGTGTGTTTCTGCTGTGGTAAGCCTTTATTGAACTTTCTGTGGTTGACTCCATTTCTTCTTGAAAATTTATACAGACTAGAAAAAATTAAGGGACAAATAAGATTCCAACTATTCTCAACTCATATGTCCAGAATGGCTAGCATGAAGTGAGCAGAGGACAAATGAGTATATAGGAAATGAGACAGTGAACAAAAAACTAGTAGTTTGGAGAGCTGTGTAGCACCGTGGGTAAGAGTCCTGAGAACCACACTGCCTGCCTGGGTCAAACCATTTTATGAGCTGCGTGTGTTCAAATATCTTACCTCTCTGTGCTTGTTGCCTCATCTGTAAAAATGGCAATATTAACACTCAATACCTCACAGGGACATCGTGAATTAATATATATAAAGCACTCATTAACCTTCACAGATGTGATTCCTGACCTGAGCTGGGCCAAGGTCTAACGATGGTCTGCGCCACAAACCTCTCAAACCAGAGCCTCACAAAACCTAACTGAATGAAAACACAGGCACTGTACTACTCGTACCAGTTTTGTCGGTACAGCATTTTCGCTTTCGTTAAATCTTTACTACATTCACATAAAGGGGAAACGAGGCCCAAAGAAGTAGTACTTGTCTAACTACCCAAAGACGCTGGTCCAATTCTGGAGAAAAGTGGCGGGAACCAGCTCTCCCGACCTTGGAAACCCCAGGCCGCAGACCCAGATAGGGTTATGTTTTGGCGGGTTCGGTCCTGGTCCTCAGGGCAGTGAACAGGGTTGAGTCGACTGCCTTGCCTTACCTCTTTAGGATCTCCGGATCCAGTCAGCATCTTTTGCTCGTCTTCCAGTCCCATGTCCGGCCACGTTCCTGGACTCAAAACTAGCAGCGACAGCGGCACCTATTCCACTTCAAGACCAAGAAGGACTAGTAAGGGTCACTTGGCGGATATCCGGCGACCGGGCCGGAAGTGCGGCACACTCGTCCCAGTCGCGAACACCCCCTCGGATTGGCATGTACTACCTGATAGAGGCAGGAGATAGGGGGAACTAGTATTTGCCCCTGAGGAGACTTTGTTAAGAAACGTACCTGTAGTCACTCCAGACCCAAGTATAGTGGCGGCCTATGATGATATCTAAAGTATTAGCATCTCAGAGACTTGAAAAATATGCTAATGTACTGAACAGTCCTTCAGCACACTTCCCACACTTCCCCATATTGCTTATGGAGCCGTCCTAACTGCTGACCTTTTCAAGATGGCGGTCCGAGAGCGCCACCATAGGGCTCGCGCACCTCCCCAAGATGGCGGCGCCCGAGGCCTGG